CTTGTTGTTGGGCAGACAAGACTAGTGCCTCTTAGGCAACCTTTGTATATCACATCCCTATTCTTGATAACAGTAAAAGCTGACACTTTCATTGCATTTATCACATGCCAGAAACTGTTATATGCACTTGGCATATATTAGCTTATTTATTTCTTATAACAACTATTAGTGTCTCTACTTTGTGTCTCTACTTTGCAGATGAGTTTACAAAGAGGTTGTATTAGTTTGTTTTCACACTGCTATAAGGACATACCAGAAACTGGGTAATTTATAAAAGAAAGAGGTTTAATTGACTCACAGTTCCACAGAGCTGGGGAGGCCTCAGGAAACTTACAAAGATGGTGGAAGGGGAAGCAAACATGTCCTTCTTCACATGGTGGCAGCAAGCATATCTGCAGAGCAAAAGGGGGAGAAGCCCCTTATAAAATCATCAGATCTTGTGAGAACTCACTCACTATCATGAGAACAGCATAAGCGTAATTACCCCATGACTAAATTACCTTCTACCGGGTCCCTCCCTTGACACATGAGGACTAGGAAACTATATATCAGTATGGAATTTGAGTGGGGACACAGCCAAACCACATCAGAGGTTAAATGACTTATCCTGGATTATACAATGTTTTGTGTTTTATACTGAGCAACTCAGCATCAAAAGACCTAGGTTTAGGATATAGGCAATACCAAGAGAAATTACACACATACACCGCTTAAACAGCTTTCAACAAGCCAAGTAACAACAGCAAGCAAGAGGAGATAGTAGTGGGTGGTAGACACATACCACGTGTTTGGGGATTAATTAATGCTTCTCACTGCCTTGGTTGCCACTCATTCTCAGCCAGTACAGGTATTGATCGACTTACCAGCTATGCAACTTACGACCACTCGACTTTACGACCACAGTCGCTAGCCACGACTGCTCCACGTCTGGCAGCGCAAACGTTGCCCAGCTGGGTGTACGACAGTGCGGACCAGCTTCCGGCAGCACTACTATCTCCGCGTGCACCATTTCAACTGTACATATAGCCTACTCAACTTAACGACCAAATCGTGTTACGACCAGTCCGCGGTCCCGACCGTGGTCGTAAGTCGAGCACTAGCTGTAGTTCTAATGGTCTCTGCTGGCAGAGGTCTTTGCCCCAGTCTTTGCCACTGGTTGGAGTCACTTCACCATCAGTATGTGGTAGTCATGACCTCTCAAGCAGTGGCAGGAACTCACATTTGTCATGGCTTGGTGGGTGTCCCCATGTTCTGACTGGGGAGAGTGAGCCCCCTGCGTGCACCTTAGTCTGTTGGTTTGCACTTGCATCATCTCTATGCTGGTTAGCTATATTCATCTACTTAAGCCACTACATCATTATATGCACATTGTTGGCTAGTTATACCCTTCCAGATCAATGCTTTTCAGGACTTTCTGGAGCTTTCCCAAACATGGTTATGACTTTGGGGGATGGCAGGTGTTTATCTTTTTTGAGTGATACAGCCATATGCAAATCCATAATAGGATATACATGTGTGATTTTATTTTTGGGAAAATAAATCTTACAAGGAATGCAACATTTTTGGTGGGAAAACTTGCTGAACTTTTTTAAAAAAAATTACAGCAAATAGATTTTTATTCACTACTGTTAAAATGTATGATATGACATCCTTTAATCATATGAAGCTAGTTAGTGATAAAGCTAGGATTCATATCCAAGCAGTCTGTATGTGGAATCCACATCCTTAACTACATCTCTGCCCAGAACTAACTCTCTTCCTGGAACTAATACTTCACATTAAATGAACTACTCATAAGTGTACAGACCGTAGCCTGAGAAAATCCAAGTTATCTCAGTACAGGCTACAGATGTCTTTGGAGCAGCATCTAGAAGACCCTGGTATGTGAGAGATATCTTATAAAGCTATGAAAACTTAAATGGGGAAGTTGCTAAGAAACTGATATAGAGGATATCTTTAAATTACTGTAATTTTCCTGTCTTGCAATAAGTTGTTTTGCCTTTTTTTAGAGTAAAACTTTTTCTGATACAGTGATTTTAGTGTGATGGCAGCTGTTGGCATTGTTGACCACCTGTGGTTTTGTTTAAAAAAAAAAACATATATATATATATATATCTCCACCTGGGTTTCTGAATGGAATGTCAACTAAGAGAATGCAACACTTTTAAACACTTTTATAGAGAAACATGGGCCCTTGGCACCATAGGCGTTTCTGACATAAAAATAACTTATTATGTTTTGGTAAGACCAAAATAAGGAAATGACACTGCCTCAGCCAAACCACAGCTCTGGCTTGTACTCGTGGATCTGCAGAGGTGGCAGTGCAGAGAGCATAGAAGAACAACTAGACTTAGTAGAAATACTACCAGAATACCAAATACTGTGGAAGATCAATGGGAAGTATATGGATGGAATGACATACCAATTCTAATTGAAATATGGAACTTGTACAACTTCATCATTGTGTAATTTTCAGAGCATCCATGTGACCTCCATAGGGAAAGAAAGCAAACATGAGAACACAGTCCAAAAGATGGGTGTCCTTTAAGTTGGTGGCTTTTCTTTTGTGTCAACAGTACAGCGTAAGAGAGTGCTATGTGCTCCCATTTTTGTAGTACTTGAGTACACTTTGCGTGTGTGTGTGTGTGTGTGTGTGTGTGTGTGTGTGTGTACAGACGGGGTCTCACTTTGTTGCCAAGGCTGATCTTGGTTTCCTGGGATCAAGCAATCTCCTGCCTCAGCTTCCCAAAATGCTAGGATTTTAAGTGTGAGCCACTGTACTTGGCCAGGATATGATTTTTGTGAAAACACTTTTGAAAATAAGATGCTACACAACTGTGATCAACAACAGTTTGGAGATAGGGTTTATAAAGAATCCTGAATTATCAGATGAGGAAACAATTAAACCTATGTTTCTTTGCTTTAGATTCCTGTTATGTGCAAAATGATGGATATTTATTCCCAGCCCCTATCTTTTTCACAAAGGAAGTTGAGAGGGGAACGCTATCAATAGTGGCTGTGAGTTCGTGTCAACACTTTATGCATAACATGTAAGAGAGTGGATCTAACATTCAGAGTGCTTATAAAACACCTAGGCTTTTAATCTTCATGACAGTGCTACAGTAATCAAAATTTTAGTCTGAGAGAGCTGGAGCATATCTATCAAGATTAGCCAACTAGTAATCATCAGAGATGTGACTTTCAAGCCCAGGTTTGTTTGACCCCAAGCTTTGCTCTTTCCGCTATAATAGCGCATTCCTCATGGAATTGTGTTTAGCCACAGAAGATTAGGTAATGGCATCTGTCCTTTCATGTTTAGAGCTAAACATTAGTAAGTATAAAGCTAAACTTTATAAATACTTAATGTTAAGTACTTTTACCACTTTCTACTGGAGGGGAAAAAAGCAATTTTCAATTGATTGACTGCATTTCCAGACATGGTTTTCCAGTACAGTTTCAGTCAATTTAGTTTTTAAAAATCTCTATCCAGCAGATACTTCCTTATTATTATTATTTCGTACTTCTTTCTATGAGTAACTGGCCTTTGGGAGACCAAATATTTCTAATGCTTCCCATTCCAGGAGGCCATTATCAAGGGGACATATGGTTTGTTATGAACATCTAATGTATCATGTTGTTTCACCTCTACTTCTCAGTGGTTCTTTGCTCTACACCAAGGAGTTAAGATTAAAAACCAGGAGAATAAAGAAGAATGTCGTGGACTGATTTTAGTTCCACTGACATGAGTTTGCCTATCCAGCCACACTATTTGGCAGGTGTCTACTGTGAACAGTGGCATAATTTTATCAGACAGATGGATAATGTCAAGAATTATAATCTGTAACCCTAGATTAGATGAAAATAAAAGCCACTTGTAACACCAATTATGTTCCTGACCTTTTTGTATTTAGTAACTCCAAATAAACTCATCTATTTATTTAAATGGGAATATTAACATTACACAAATCATATTTAATGATGAACACATGATAAAATTTATCACCTGGTTTAATATTCTGCTTGACTCATCTGAATTATTTCTCTTAGGTCATGGAATTTCCATCTGTGTCCACTCTATTGGACTAATGATGTTTGTGTATACTTCTATAATGCCTGCTTTACTATTGAACAGTAGATGTGAAATGGAGTCCTCACTGAGATTATCTTATTCATGGGTGTATCTTTTGATGGCAGAAAAAAAAAGTATACATAGGTAGGCGAAAGACAGAAAAAGCAGTTGCTGAAAAATGGCACCTGATGGTGAGTGGACAGCAATCAGGATGTTTTGTTTTGTTGTTTTTGTGACAGAGTCTCTGCCCTCTGTCACCCAGGTTGGAGTGCAGTGGTGTGACCTCGGGTCACTGCAACCTCTGCCTCTCGGGCTCAAGTGATTCTCTCAACACAGACTCCCAAGTAGCTGGGACTACTATGACTCCCAAGTGGCTGGGACTACAGGAATGTGCCACTTTGTGCAGCTAATTTGTGTGCTTTTTGTAGAGATGGAGTTTCGCCATGATGGCCAGGCTGGTCTCGAACTCCTGGGCTCAAGTGATCTGCCCGCTTCGGCCTCCCGAAGAGCTAGGATTACTGGCATGAGCCACTGTGACCAGCCTAACAGTCAGGTTTTTATCTTCTTGGGATGTGGGAGAGGCTAAGCTAAACCAAAATTCAAAAGAAAGAATATATTCATAATTAGTTAACCTTAGGGTGAAAAATAAAATTTCAGAGATAACAGAATAGAAAAAAAAAATCAAATTTTAATAGTTCACACTTATTGGACTATTGTTATTTCAATTTTAAAGAGAGAAACAGGTATAGAGTGATGAAACAGCTAGCTCAGATATATACAACAAATGGCAGAGCTGGAATGCCAACCCCAGCAATCTGAACCAGTATTTTAAAAAGAGGAATTAAAGGACATAGGGTGAGAAACATTATAGGAAGGGGACAAGAGCTCAAGGGGACACCTGGAAAGGAAAGGCTGCAATCTAAAAAATTACCAACGGGCTAATTATAGTTGTGTTTTACTGGCAGAGCGCTTTGTCTATGTTACCTCTTTTAATCCCGATAACAATTCTGTGAGGTTGGTGCTATTAGTTCCATTTTTCAGACGAGGACGCTTGATAGACGATAATCGACACATTCTCGGCTTGCTCTGAGCTGCGTCTCAACAGCTGGCTCTGGAGTGAGCAAAGCGAGACTGAGGGAGACTTGGCAACAGAGCGGAGCAGGGCTAGGCAAGCCAACTGAAAGTGAGAAATGCAGGAAATGTTTCCCATGTAGGCAGAAGCTGGTTCCAGTATTCAAATCTCTCCAGCTGGCCCGCCACCACGTCACAAAGCCCGCCTCACAGTAACAAAGCCCCGCCCCGCTCCTGTGGCCGTTCTCTGAGCTCCCAATACTTCCCTCCTTCTCTTTGGCCCCGCCTACCTCGCCTAGCATCATTTCCTGTGCGCTGGATGCTGATTGGTCCGGCAGTCGGAAGTGAGGGCGGGCGGTGGGGCCGTTGCCGCAGTGACAGTGCTAGGGGAGTCCGAAGATGGCGGCGTCGCGTCGCTCTCAGCATCATCACCACCATCATCAACAACAGCTCCAGCCCGCCCCAGGGGCTTCAGCGCCGCCGCCGCCACCGCCTCCCCCACTCAGTCCTGGCCTGGCCCCGGGGATCACCCCAGCCTCCCCCACGGCCGGCGGCCTGGCCCCCTTCGCCTCCCCGCGGCACGGCCTAGCGCTGCCGGAGGGGGATGGCAGTCGGGATCCGCCCGACAGGCCCCGATCCCCGGACCCGGTTGACAGTAGCAGCTGTTGCAGTACCACCAGCACAATCTGTACCGTCGCCGCCGCTCCCGTGGTCCCAGCAGCTTCTGCTTCATCTGCCGTTGGGGTCGCTCCCAACCCAGCTGGCAGTAACAATTCACCGTCGACCTCTTCTTCCCCGACTTCATCCTCATCTTCCTCTCCATCCTCCCCTGGATCGAGCTTGGCGGAGAGCCCCGAGACGGCCGGCGTTAGCAGCACAGCACCATTGGGGCCTGGGGCAGCGGGACCTGGGACAGGGGTCCCAGCAGTGAGCGGGGCCCTACGGGAACTACTGGAGGCCTGTCGCAATGGGGACGTGTCCCGGGTAAAGAGGCTGGTGGACGCGGCAAACGTAAATGCAAAGGACATGGCCGGCCGGAAGTCTTCTCCCCTGCACTTCGCTGCAGGTCAGAGACATTTGAATTGTTTATTAGGGGTTTTGGGTTTGGGTGCTGGGTCCAGTTGGGACAGGAAAACAGGTTATTGTGATGGGACAAAGTGGGGGCGTGGTCATGGTTCTTCAACATCTTACCAGAAGACAAGAGGTTCCTTTCTTTTGATGGTGCCTGGGTGATGGGGGCGTGGTTGGGGGAATTTGTGAATCCAAGGAATTCTTCCTCAGCGTTTGCACAGTGACACTTGTACTCATTACAAAACTCACTGTAGTTGATAGTCTTTGTATATGGATATGTTTACACTTTAGTTTTTAGTATGCAGGAATAAAGTTAGATTTGGACAGCTTTAGAGTAGTTTTGTTGTTTGTGTGAAAGTTTGTTTTTACAAAGGTATGTCTCTTGAGGACACTCCAGATCAAAAGAGGTTGCATACAACTCAACAAGTGTTTGAGGATCTGTTGCAGTCTTAGAAGCCCAATGAAAAGACGTAAATGAAGTTTTTGAAAGTTTCCCTTTTTGTAAAGGAATTTACAGTCTAGATGGGGAGACCAAAATATGCCAGTGTGAAACAACTGGAGAAGAATATTTGGATGTGTTATATGATGGAAGAAATACAGGCTTTGATGTGACCACTATTTGTTGTCCAACACCGTTTACCTTGTGTCAGTTGCCTCAGTTTTCTTCTGGGCAAAAATTGTAAAATGATGTCGTATGAGCATTTAGTGAGAAGTATCTGGCACAAAGTTCTCCCTCAAAAACTGTGAATTCAGTCAAAAAGTGTGAATTTCTTAAACTCTGGACCTCATACTTGTTTTTTTTTTTTTTTTTTTTTTTTTGCAAGTAATTGATTTTCTCTTAAAGACATCTAACATATGTTCATAAAATAAAACTGTAAAATAAAAAGAAAGGACCACAGTATTACTGCCTAGATACCCATTGTTGATATTTTTAAAAGATAGGTAATGTTATATATATTAGAAACATTATTTTAGAAATATATACGTTATATATTAGACAATTCAAATAGGACAGAAAAATACAAAATGCAAAGTACCACAGACTCACAAGCATCAAAGATAACACACCAAAGATAACTTGTTGTTTTTTTCTATATATTTAATATTATAACCCCTTCAGTTTGTTCTATTAGTAGTAAAACATGTGTTGACCCACTGTAGTAGTATTTAATTTATTTTTACCACAACTTGGGAGATATTGTTAACCATTTGCAGATGACAAAAGTGAAGCATAGATTGCTTAAATAAGTCCAAATTCACTCAAGAAATGGTTGAAATTGAGTTTGAATTCAGGCAGTTTTATTTTAGAGCTTGTGAAATCAAACTTAAACTGTCAGAACCCTGGATTAAGGTCATTTTTCATTTTTGGGAGTAATTGCAGTGCAGAGTTCCTGTTTTGAGAGAAGTAGTAATGGGGAGGGCTTACATGCAAGAGAGTAGCTTTCACATGTTTTTTATTGTAGCGCATACTTAGAAATACATTTTACATGGTCACATATGCAACTGAATCAAAAGCTTCAGGGGACAGTACTTTCCCTTAGTCTATGTGTTGTCCTCTGATATTTTATATCTTATTCCATTTCATTTTTAGCAAATGCTGTTTGTGATCCGTTAATGGGTCATGACCAGTGGTATGAGAAACACTTAAAGGAAATCTTTATTAGGTCACTGGATTCATTCTTGATATACAGACACTACTATTAGGGATGCAGTGAATCGAATCATAAACAGACTTTTGTCTATTTATTTGCTCAAGGGTTTTGCTTGTTTTAGATGAAATAGCATTTCTTTTTCTTTAGGCTAAGTGAAAGGCCTAAGTCTAATTTTATAAATCAACAGAGGTGTCTACTTTTGCATATTTTATCCTAAGTTTAACTATTTTAACAAATTCTTTCCCGAATCATGTAATTTCTCACCATACCACTTTATAAGTAATCACCAACCACTGATAGTTATATTTATGCATATTAATATATTTAAGACAAGTCACACAAAATAGTGCTTGTCTCCAAAACACGAGTCTTCTATTTGCCATAATAGTTATCAGAGTTTTATGTATATCCAGATAAGCTAGAACATAAACAATAAATCAGTACTGTAATTATGTTGTAGTTATGAGAACCTAACCTTGAATTGGCTTTTTTAGAAAATTTTTAGCTCAGTTGTGGAAAACACAATAATAAAATTCTTGATGATATAAAAACATCCTGTAGTCGGTTTGCACACTTCCATGTTTGAATGCATGACATTAAAGTTTTATTAAACTTTAGTCTTGTTTATCATGTATAGGCTGAGAAATGAAAAAAATTATCAGTTGTCTGGTTATTATAATAGTAATATAATTGCCATGGAATAGCTGTTTTAAAGATGAGAAATTGGTAAAATTGGATGAAAAAATTTAAAAATTACAGTATTTCTTCCAGAAATATTTTAGTGTACTTAGATGATCAGGTGCTAAATACTGACACAATTGTGTAACGGCAAACAGTCCTTAACCCTTATGGAGTTTACAGTCTATTGGGGAAGCATAAACAACAACAATAAAAGCCTGCAAAGTATCTAGTGTCTAATCTAGAATGATAGGAAACAGACATTATACTCTCTATCCCAGTATGTAATAGGAGCTCATATCCTTATTTTAGAGAAGGAAGTCTTTCTAGGTAGCTTTTTTTAAACCAGGAATTTAAAGAGTGAGCTGAAGCTAGCCAAGCAAAGGTTGGAAGGGAGGATGTTAACTAATGCTTTTATTTGTGTTTAGAAATGAGTTTATAGATCTATAGAATGAAATGAAACAATTTTTTTTTCTTTCCAACTTTTAGGTTCAGGGGTTACATGTGCAGGTTTGTTACATGGGTAAATTGTGTCTTTCAGGGTTTGGTGTACAGATTATGTCATCACCTAGGTAATGAACATAGTACCAGATAGGTAGTTTTTTGACTTTCACCCTCCTCCCATCGTGTACCCTCCAGCCTCAAGTAAGCGCCAGTGTGTATTAGTCCTTTGTCTGTGTCCATGTGTACTTCAGGTTTAGCTCCCACTTATTTAAGTGAGCACATGTGGTATTTGGAAATCACTTTTAAACATCTCAGAAGTGGTATGAAACCATGTTTAAATCCTTATCACTGTATTTATATTATCTTACGAATAACCATATTATTTCCAGCAGTAGAATTAAGAATCCTTTCTATCCTGTCTTGGATTTTGATAATTTGTTTAGAATATGGTTTAGAAACTGTGTTAATAATAGAATCATCTTATCTGCAATTAAGACAAAATCTTGTTTCTATTTTATTTTATTTTTGAAACAGAGTCTTGCTCTGTCACCAGGCGCCAGTCTGGAGTGCGGTGGCTCAATCTTGGCTCACTGCAACCTCCGCCTCCTGGGTTCAAGCAATTCTGCCTCAGCCTGCAGAGTAGCTGGGACTGCAGGCTTGTGCCACCATATCCAGCTAATTTTTGTATTTTAGTAGAGATGGGGCTTCACTTTGTTGGCCAGGTTGGCCTCGATCTCTTGACCTTGTGATCCACCCTCCTCAGCCTCCCAAAGTGCTGGGATTGCAGGTGTAAGCCACTGAGCCCAGCCCTTGTTTTCATTGTTGATGATACAGGTTCTCGAAATACTATTTCTGATGCCTTCTTAAGATGGCTTCGTAAAAGTGATCCATTCTTTTATTGTTGACTAGAATTTATATGAGACTTTCTTCTACAGATGTGATTCTTGACCCTGGTTTTCTTTTAAAGTATAGCAGTCAAAAGAGTTTTATAAAGAGTACCAATTTAGAGTGATACCTCCTTAGTTTGGTTCCCAGTAGTGACATATTTTTGTTAAAGGACCCATATATTCTGATGAGGTCTCTTTTTATAGAAAAGTTCAAATGAGGTTTTTGGTTTTTTTTTTTTCCTTTTAAAGGCTTTAATAAAACATTAAATTCTGAGATTTTAATAGTATTTACATGAAATTGAAGAAATTTTGAAAGGGGCTTCCTGTTAGTTTTCATATGACTTGGATTATGATAGGTAACATGAGGTATTTTAGAATCAAAGCCAGCAAAATAAGGATGCCAGTTTTTTGTTGTTGTTGTTTTGTTTTAATGGCATCTACTACAATACATATTTAACAATA